CAGTAGTTCATTTTTGCTTTTGTTTCCCTTGCCTCCGGAGACGTATTGAGTAAGAAGTTGCTGCAGCCAAGATCAAAGAGGTTTTTGCCTGCTTTCTCCTCAAGGATTTTGATGGCTTCCTGTCTTACATTGAGGTCTTTCATCCACTTTGAGTTTATTTTTGTGTAGGTGTAAGAAAGTTGTCCAGGTTCATTCTTTTGCATGTTGCTGTCCAGTTTTCCCAGCACCACTGTCTTTATTCCATTGGCTATTCTTTCCTGCTTTGTAAAAGATTAGTTGGCCATACATTTGTGGGTCCATTTCTAGGTTCTCTATTCTGTTCCATTGATCTGAGTGTCTGTTCTTGTGCCATCCATTTAAATTTTTTGAGATGTTTTCCAATGTTTTCCACATTGGCTGAACCAGTTTACATTCCCACCAATACTCCACAAGGGTTCTTTTTTTTCCACATGCTCACCAACATGGATGGACTTAAAGGGTATTGCACTAAGGGAAATAAGTCAGAGAAAGACAAATACCATATGATTCCACTTCTATGTGGAATCTGAAGAACAAAACTAATGAACAAGGAAAAAGCCTAGACGTATAACTACAGAGAACAAACTGATGGTTGCCTGAGAGGAAGGGTAAAGGGGGGATGGGAAAAAACAGGTGAAGGTAAGTGGGAGATACAGGCTTCCAGCTATGGAATGAATAAGTCATGGGGATGGAAAGGTATAGCATAGGGAATATAGTCAATGCTATTTTAATGGAATTACGTGGTGAGAGATGGTAACTATACTTATGGTGAGTGTAGCATAACATAAAAATTTATTGAATCAATATGTTACACACCTGAACGTAATGTAACTGTGTGTGTCAAATACACTGAAATTTAAGAAAAAAAAGTTTCAAAAACGAAATGCTTTAAAATGTAAAGGAATACTTGTCTAAACAATAAATGTGTTTGTTCCAAAAAAAATTTTCTGTAATGATTCACAAGAAATAGTTGCAGGGGAACTTCTTGGGAAAATGACAAGAAGAAGATCCTAAATTTACCTCATCCCATGGATACAACTAGATAATACCCACATCAATGTAAAAACCCAGAAAATGACTCAAAAACTGTCAGAATAGACTCTTCACAGCTAATTGTAGACAAGGGGCGGCAAAGAAGGTATAAAGGGCAGAGACATGGTGGGGAGCTAAAGAGACCCACAAGACTATCCTCAGGAGAGAGAGACCCTGCAGGCTCACAGAGGAAAGAGAAACAGACCGTCACACAAAACACTACGGTCATGGGAAACCCACATGGGGAAGACAAACCCCCACATTTTGGCTTTGAAAACCAGAGAAGCCTAATTTTATAAGTTCTTACAACCAGCAGGGCTTAACACTTAGAATGTTAAAATTTAGTGGGTTCTCTGGGAGAACTTGGAGGGTGGAGTCCCCACCCTTAAAGAGCATAATAAACAGCCAAACAGAGATACAGAATATAAGAAGCAGTTTGAAAAACACTTGGGGTATATCAGAAGGAGATTTATTTACTAATCCCAGTGTGTGCTGGGGGTGGCAGGGATCTCTAGGAGACTTCTCTAGGAAGCAAAAGGAGCTGGCAGGCACCACTTCCCTCCCCTGCCCGCCCCCCAGCCTAGATACATGACACCTGGGGGAACAGCTCAGTGCCAACACTCTCCACCTAACTTACTAATCCTCCTTTGCATTCTCCAGTGGACATGCCCCTCCAATATGCCTTTGGCTGGAGCCTATCCAAAGTGGTGCCACAAGCATGGCAGTGTACCAGCAGCTGTGACAGGGACCAGCACCACTTCAAAGTGGTCCAGCTGGTCTTGGAAAGAGAAGAAGATAACCACAAACACCAGTCCAAATGCAGCCCTAGCAGTGGGCTGGGGGAAACCAGTTGGTCAGACTGCAGGCCCCACCCACCAACAGAAGCTCCTCAGGGGACAACACAGGGAAAGTGCCCTGTGCTACTGCATCTCTGGCAAATACCTGTTCTGGCTCAGCTGAAGCCCAAGGTGGCCCCAGACTGGCCCACTAACAACACAGGGATTGCCCTGTCCACAGCAGGCAGAGTCATTGCAGACAACTGCACTGAAGCAAAAGTGGCTCAACTACAATAGTCAGGCACAACAACAACATTCATGAAGCACCAGGTTCTGGTGAACAGGGGACCCTGGAATCCAGGGCACTACAGTACCTCTTCTTCACAAGGCCACTATTTTCAAAAGCAGGAGACATACCTGACTTTCCTAACACAATGAAACAGAGTTCAAAAAAATGAGACAGAAGAATATGTCCCAAATGAAAGAACAGAACAAAATCACAGCAAGAGAGCTAAACAAAGTGGAAATAAGTCATATGCCTCACAGAGAATTTAAAGTAATGGTCATAAAGATACTTGCTAGACTTGAGAAAAGAGTGGAGGACCTCAGTGAGACCTTTAACAAAGATCTACAAAACAAAAAAGAATCAATCAGAGATTAACTCAATAGCAAAGTAAAAATACACTAGATGAATAAACAGAAGACTAGAAGAAGCAGAAGAATGGATTGGCAACTTGCAGGAAAGCAATTAAGCTGAAAGAAAAAATAATGAAAAATGAAAATAGACATAAGGAACTCAGTGACACCATCAAGTGTAATAACATTTGCATTATAGGGATCTCAGAAAGAGAAGAGAGAGAAAAGCAGGCAGAAAATCTATGTGAAGAAATAACAGCTGAAAACTTCCCAAACCTGGGAAAAGAAACAAATCTAGATCCAGGAGGCACAGAGAGCCCCCAACAAAATCAACCTAAGGAGGTCTGCACCAAGACATGTAATTAAAATGGCAAAAAGTACTGGTTGAGAATTTTAAAAGCAGCAAGAGAAAAGAAAACAGTTACAAGGGAAATCCCATAAGGCTGTCAGATTTTTCAGCAGGAATTTTGCAGGCTGCAAGAGAGTGGCTTGATATATTCAAAGTGCTGAAAGGAAAATATCTGGTGCCAAGAATATCTAGTGAAGCTCTCATTTAGAGTAGAATGAGAGGGGGTGCCTGGGTGGCTCAGTCAGTTAAGCACCGACTTCAGCTTGGGTCATGATCTCACAGTTTGTGGGTTCGAGTCCCACCTCGGGCTCTGTGCTGAGAGCTCAGAGCCTAGAGCCTACTTCAGATTCTGTCTCCCTCTCTCTCTGCCCCTCCTCCACTCACCGTCTCTTTCTGTCTCTCAAAAAATGAATAAAAACGTTAAAACGTATTTTTAGAATAGAAGGAGAGTTTCCCAGACAAACAAAAGTTAAAAGAATTTGTGACCATTAAAATAGCCCTATGAAATATATTAAACAGGACTCTTTGGGTGGAAAGGAAAGCCCATGAGCAGGAGTAAGAAAAGTAGGAAGCACAAAAGCAGTAAAATTAAGTTTATATGTAGAAATCAGGAGATTCACAAAATAAAAGGATGTGAAGTATGACATCATATACTTAAAACATGGGTGGGGAAGAGTAAAGGATGGGTTCAAACTAAATATAGACTTAATATAGACTACTATATGCATAAGATGTTACATATATATACCTAATGGTAACAACAAGTCAAACACTAGTAACAGATATGCAAAAAAAGAGAGAGACAGAGAGAGAAGGGAATCTAAGTATATCACTAAAGAAACCCAGTAAATCATGAGAGAATAAAGCAAGAGAATAAAGGAACAAAGAACTACTAAAACAACCATAAAACAAGTATCAAATGACAATAAATGCAACCTATGAATAATTACCTTGAATGTAAATGGACTAAATGCTACATTCAAAAAGACAGAGTGAGGGAATGGATTAAAAAAAGCAAGACCCATCTATATGCTACCTATAAGAGACTCATTTCAAACCTAAAGACACATGGAGATTGAAAGTGAACTGACAGAAAAGTATTTATCATGCAAATGGAAGTGAAAAGAAAGCGAGGGTAGCAATAAGCATATAATACAAAATAGACTTTAAAACAGATTATAACAACAGACCAAAAAAAGGACACTATATATTCATTAAAAAAAAATCCAAGAAGATATAAACAATGATAAATATTTATACATCAACATGGGAGCACCCAAATACATAAAGCAGCTAGTAACAAACATAAAGGAAGTAATTGAGAGTAATACAATAATAGTAGGGAACTTTAACACCTCACTTACATCAATGGATAGATCACCCAAACAGAAAATCAACAAGGAAACATTGGCTTTGGATGACACATTGGACCAGATGGATCTAACAGATATTCAGAACATTCTATCCTAAAACAGCAGAATTCACATTCTCTTCAAGTGCACATGAAACATATATTAGAATAGAGCACATATTAGGCCACACAACAAGTCTCAATAAATTAAAAGAGACTGAAGTCATAATACTATGTGTCTATTCTGACCACAACTCTATGAAACTAGAAGTCAGTTACAAGAAAAAATATGGAAGAAGACAACTACCTGGAGGTTAAGTAACATGCTATTAAACAATGAATGGGCCAACCAAGAAATCAAAAAGGAAATAAATACAGAGAGAATGGAAATAAATATAGACAGACAACGAAAATGAAAACATAATGGTCCAGAATCTTTGGGATGCAGCAAAAGTTGTTCTAAAAGGGAAGTTTAGAGCAATACAGGCCCACCTCAAGAAGCAAGAAAAATCTCAAACTAATCTTTCACCTAAAGAAACTAGAAAAAGAACAAACAAAACCCAAAACCAGTAGAAGGGAGGAAATAATAAAGATCAGAGCCCATATAAAGTACAGAAAAGCTAAAAAAAATAAAAAAAAAAAAAAAAATCAGTGAAACCAGGAGCTAGTTCTTTGAAAAGATCAACAAAATTGATAAACCTTTAGCCAGATCATGGGAGGAAAAAAAAGTGAGAGGACTCAAACACATAAAATCAGAAATGATAGAGGCAAAATAACAATCGACACCACAGAAATACAAAGGATTATAAGAGAATATTATGAAAAATCATATGCTATCAAATTGGACAACTTAGAAGAAATAGACAAATTCCTACACACTTAGAACCTCCCAGAACTGAATCAGGGAGAAACAGAAAAATTGAACAGACTGATTATCAGCAATGAAAATGAGTCAATAATCAAAGACTCCCAACAAACAAAAATCCAGGACCAGACGGCTACACAGGTGAATTCTACCAAACATTTAAGGAAGTTAATACCTTGTTCTCAAAATATTCCAAAAAATAGAAGAGTAAGGAAAGCTTTCAAATTCATTCTAGGAGGCCAGCATTACCACGATATCAAAATCAGATAAAGACCCTACAAAAAGGAACTATAGGCCAAAGCTCTGATGAACATAGATACAAAAATCCTCAACAAAATATTAGCAAACAGAATTCAAAAATACATTAAGAAAATTATTCACCGTGATCAAGTGGGATTTATTCCTGGGATGCAAGGATGATTCAATATCCACAAATTATCATCATTGTGATGCATCACATCAACAAGACCAAGGATAAAAACCATATGATCACTTCAGTAGATGCAAAAAAAAAAAAAAAAAAAAAAAAAAAAGCATTTCACAAATCATAACATGCATTCATGATAAAAAGTCTCAACAAAGTAAGTCTACAGGGAACATACCTCAACATAATAAAGTCTGTATATGAAAAACCTACAGTTAACATCATTGAACTCAGTGAAAAACTGAGAGCTTTTCCTCTAAGAGTAGGAAAAAGAAAGGATGTCCACTGTCACCTCTTTTATTCAGCATGGTACTAGAAGTCCTAACCACAGCAATGAGACAAAAAGAAATAAAAGGCATCCATATTGCTAAGGAAGAAGTAAATCTGTCACTATTTGTAGATGACATGATCCTATATGTAGAAAACCCTAAAGACTCCGTTAAAAAACTGATCAATGAATTCCATAAGGTTGCAAGATACAAAGTCAGTATATTGAAATCCATTGCATTTCTGTACAGTAACAATGAAGTAGTAGAAAGAGATAGTAAGAAAACAATCCCGTTTAAAATTTCACCAAAAATAATAAAATATCTAGAAGTAAACTTAACCAAGGAGGTAAAAGAACTATACTATGAAAACTATAAAACATTGATGAAACAAAGACAACATAAACAAATGGAAAGATGTGCCATGCTTGTGAGTTAGAAGAATCAGTATTGTTAAAATGTCCATACTACCCAAAGCAATCTTCAGATTTTAATGTAATCCCAAACCAAATAGCAATATCATTTTTCACAGAACTAGAACAGCCCTAAAATGTGTATGGAACCAGAAAAAAAGACCCTGAAATAGCTAAAGCAATCTCGTGAAAGAATAAAATTGGAGGTATCACAATCCCAGATTTCAAGATGTACTACAAAGCTGTGGTAACCACAACAGTATGGTACTGGCATAAAAATAGACACACAGATCAATGAAACAATAGATAGCCCCAAAATAAACCTGCAATCATGTGGTCAATTAATCTTTGACAAAGGAGGTGAGAATATGTAATGAGAAAAAGATAGTCTCTTCAACAATGGTGTTGGGAAACTGGACAGCTACGTGCAAAAGAATGAAACTGGACTACTTTCTCACACCACACACAAAAATAAACTAGAAATGGATTAGGACTTAAATGTGACGCCTGAAACCATAAAAATTCTAGAAGAGAGCAAAGGGAATAACCTCTTTGACATTACCCATAGCAACATTTTTCTAATAATGTCTCCTAGGGCAAGGGAAACAAAAGCAAAAATAAACTATTGGGACCCACCAAAATAAAAAGCTTCTGCATAGCATAGGAAACAATCAACAAAACTAAAAGACAGTCTACTGAATGGGAGAAGACATTCACAAATGACATGTCTGAGAAAGGGTTAATATCCAAAACATATAAAGAACTTAATGCAACTCAGCACCAAAAAACCAAATAATGCAGTTAAAATATGGGCAGAAGACATGAACAGATAGTTCTCCAAAGAAGACATCCAGATGGTCAACAAACCCATGAAAAGATGCTCAACATCACTAATCATCAGAGAAATGCAAATCAAAACCATAATGAAATATCACCTCACACCTGTCAGGATGGCTAAAATAAAAAACACAAGAAACAACAAGTATTGATGAGGATGCAGAGAATAAGGAACCCTCATGCATTGTTGGGGGATTACAAACTGGAGCATCCCCTTTGGAAAACAGCATGGAGGGTCTCCAAAAAATTTTTAAAAAATAGAAGACTGTATGATTCAGTAATTCCGCTATAGGGTATTTACCCATGAAATATGAAAATGCTAATTCAAAAAGATATATGCAGCATTTATGTTTATTGCAGCATTATTTACAACAGCCAAACTATGGAAGCAAACTGTTTATTGATAGATAAATGGATAATTGAGGATGTGGTATATATATACACAATGGAATATTACTCAGCCATAAAGAAATAAGTCTTGCCATTTGCAACAGCATGGATGGACCTAGAAGTTATAATGCTAAATGAAATAAGTCAGAGAAAAACAAATACCATATGGCTTCACTCATATATGGAATTTAAAAAACGAAACAAATTGAAGAAAAAAAGAGACAAACCAAAAAACAGACTCTTAATTACAGAGAACAAACTGATGATTACCAGAGGGAAGGTGGGTGGAGGGATGGGTGAACTAGGTAAAGGGATTAAGAGTACACTTAGCAAGATGAGCAGAGAGTAATGTGTAGAATTGATGAATCACTATATTGTATACCTGAAACTAATAAAACACTATGTTATTTATACTGGAATTTAAAAAAATTTTCAGTTTTTTGGGATAAAGTTGGGTAAGGTGGGTAACAGGAGGCTTTTTCATTTTAACTTGTATCTGTATGTAATCTCATTACCGCATTGCTATTTTTTTTTTTTTTTTAACCTCAACAAGGGTTAACTAGCAGGGAGATTCTGGACCTTATTTTTTTCTATTAATACTATTATTTAGAATAGAATAGTTTGCAAATATAATATAAAAAATGAAAATGGCTAGTAATGACAGATGTATCAAGTTTCTTAGACAATGACAAAATCTAGTTTTGTTAAGTAAAAACTGATAAAGCCTTTACTCTTACACATATATTTTTCAAAATAAAATATTTTATAGTGTGTCTGTATGATGATGTTATTATTAACCTTTGGTTGTATCTTCCTTCCAGCAATTTTACCTGCTCAGGAATGGAAACCTCCTCTTCCTGCTTATGATTTTCTAAGTATGATGGATGCCGCAGCATCTCAACATCCCACAAGGAAAGAGCCTGAGTGTACAAAAGAAACTAACATGCAAAAGAATGATAAAAAACAACATGAAGAAAAATCAACAATCAGAAAAGAACCAGTTGAAACACTGAGAATAAAGCATTGGAATAGAAGTAATTGGTTTAAAGAAGGAGACAAATCATTTAGGCATGACAATAAAGAATTGTGATGCTCAAAAGAGTTATGAGCTGGTTTCATAGGGCTGTGGAGAGCTTTACAAAGTCTTTGTAGCTTATTTGGTAGACTGAAGAATTTATTATAAATTAATACTAAATCACTTCCAGTCTTTAGGCCATTGTTGTCCAATGGAAATATAATGTGAGCCATATATGTAACTTAGAATTTTATAGTAGCACCTTTAAAAAAAGTAAAAGCAGATGAAATTAATTTTAATATTTCACCAAGTATACCCAAACTAGCTCAGTTAACATAAAAATTACGATATTTTTACATTCTTTTTTTCTGTCAAGTCTTCAAAATCCAGTGCGTATTTCACCCTCACTATGCATCTCCCTTCTGATGTGGCTAGTGACTGACTACTGTATTGGAAGTTCAGCTCTAGACAAAAACTGGTATAATTAATTTAACTTGGGTCTAGCCATGATATATTTTGAATTAGAATAAAAATTTAACTCTAGGTTAATCATAGTTGACTTCAGAGTGTTATCATACAGCTGGAAGTTGTATTTGCTTTGTTGTAGACATGATGTTAAAACCAGTGTTTTTAAACCAAGGAGTTTTGCCCCGAGGGGACATTTTGCAATGTCAGGAGACATTTTTGCTTGTGACTAAGGGTATTACTAGCATCTAGGGGTGGGTAGAGGCCACGGATGCTGCTAGATACCCTATCATGCATTGGACAGCCCCTCACAACAAAGAATTATCCTGCCCAAATATCAGTAGCGCCAAGGTTGAGTAATCTTGTTTGAAACTAACCTGTGGTAGAATGTTCTTATTCTGCTTAGTTATATTTGAAAAAAATCTTGGATATTAAAGATAAATACATATTAGGTGGTCTTATCCCAATTATATCTGAACACAACCATATCTTTTATTATAAATTCTTATTTATATTTTTGAACAGTAATGAGATAACACTAAAAAGGACTCAGGATCAGATGTATACACACACACACACACACAATTATGTACATTATAGTTATGTATGATAATCTATATAACGTATGTTTATAATATATAAAAATGTATATAAGAGAATCTTAAAACCTCTTAATTCTACAAGTTATATTGCTAAGTTGAAGAGAATTTAAACATTCTGCTATCCTCTTCACAAAAAGGCTCCCCGATCTAAGCCATGTGTGAAATGTACCTTTGTAAGCTTTGGAAAAATCAATTGGTCTCCCTCATCTATATAATGGAGAGGAGAAGCCATAGAGCCTCATCTATATAATGAGAGGGAAAGATTAGCCAAAAAATTAATTTTTCATTCCAAAAGCACTTACTTGTCAGGGTTATCTGTTTGTAGCAGTTTGTCTCATTTTTGCTTGGTGCATATTTTTGAGACATTTGTTGAGAACATCGTACTTTGCGCTCCACTATATTTCTCCCTTTTAATACATCCTTGGGGTATCTGGTTCTTGAAATTTTCTGCACATACAGTTTGCCTAGTACAATTGGGTTCATAAATACAATCTTAAAAAGCAAAAATAGCTATATTTCATTGTAACATAGATCATTTGCTACTGTTAGCACCCCCTTCTTGATATTTTTCCTGTAGCATGTAATGGATATTATATCAGTTCATTCTCATTTGTTTTGATTTCTAACATGGGAGATATGAGAATGAACTCTAATTATAGTTGTAGCAATAAAATAACACTAGCCTAACCATTAGAAAATGCTAATTAACTATAAGCACACAGAAACATAAAATCAATTATTGTACCATACCCAATTTGACAGTTGTTGAGATGTTCTTTTAATAATTTCAAATAAAGTATCTAGATTTCAGGCTACCTATGTTCAAAAGCTTCCTTTGACCTCCGTCATGCCCTCTGTTGGACCTGTATCAATGGATACTGTATTATCAATTGACCTGTATTACCCTGTATCAATTGGGTTTCTTTGGTTGCAGGTAACAGAAACTTAAGCAAAATGGGAATATTGGGTAATTCAGAGAGTTAGAGGAAAAATTAAGCCACATTTTAAGAAGATGGGAACCAAGGCTGTTCTAGGATCAATGTATGAGAAACTAACAGCTCAGTGATGAATCAGTTCCAACTGCTTTTCTATCTTTTGTTACTCAGGGCATCCTGGGAAACTTGGATAGGGGAAGAGTGGGCACTTTAGTTGGGAGCCCTAACCACACTTTCACAATGCAGAAGAGGTAAATCTCACAAAAGAAGTCTAGATTCTGGGGGCACGTGGGTGGCTCAGTCAGTTGGTGTTCAGCTCTTGATTTCAGCTCAGATCATGATCTCCCAACTCATGAGATGGAGCCCTACATCAGGCTTTGCATGACAGCATGGAGCCTGCTTGGGATTCTCTCTCTTCCTCTCTCCTGCCCCTCCCCTTGTGCTCTCTTCCTCAAAGTAAATAAGTAAACATAAAAAAAATAAAAGAAAAAAATCTAGATTCTGTTTACCAGAAAGTGAGAGTGAATGTAGTGAGTTTTCTCACAACACCACTTGCTGTTCTTCTATCTGTTCTTTGTATCCTTTTCAGGGTTTTCTGTCATATACTCCTGTTCATTTTTGAGAGCTTCAAAAGCCCTCTCTCTAACACCAAGTGGTTATAGTTTTCCTAAATGTCGCCCCCACACACACCCCGGTCTTCTAGAAGACTTGGTGGCCACTTCACATGTACATTCTGCAGAATGTCTCTCATGAATCAGATTCTTTCACCCTCTCTGGCCTCACCTATGCTGGAAGGTCAACATTCTTAGTCCATTGCTTCCAGCTCTGTGATGAAACATCCCATGGACAGTTTTTCAAAATTCTTAGAGTTCCTCATCTGAGGTTATGCTGCTTTAAAAAGCTAAACATGTACATTAGCAGAACAATAGACTTTACAAATCAGTAAGTATCTATCTTTGGCAATAGAACGTAATCAAATAGGTATACCTTGGGAGCTGTGTCTCCCCTTAGGATGTAGAAAGCTGCAAGAGAATGTTACCCCATCCTAACAACAAGAAATCATAATTAAAAATTTTTTAATGTTTACCTATTTTTGAGAGAGAAAGAGACACAACATGAGCAGGGGAGGGGCAGAGTGAGAGGGAGACACAGAATCTGAAGGAGGTTCCAGGCTCTGAGCTGTCAGCACAGAGCCTGATGCAGGGCTGGAACCCACAAACCACAAGATCATGTCCTGAGCTGAAGTCAGATGCTCTAACAACTGAACCACCCAGGTGCCCCATAAATCATAATTTTCCTTAACACCCATCAAATAAGGTAACCAAAGGAACTCAACAAGACCTTTCAAGGGGAGACAGGATACATGAATGGTTTCCCCTTTGGCAGAGAATAGAATACTAAAGCAGAAAGATATATATATTTTTGGAAGAGTCTAAGATTTTACTTTACCTTCAAATTATAAGTTAGTGTGCCACAGTTTCCTGAATCAGAGAAAAAGGACTTTATTACTCACTGTAATAGCATTTATCAGAGGGTCAGTATTTGTACTAGATCTCTGATCCCCAATCCCACAGTGCCAACAGAAGAGGGCCAGGTGAAACCTATATAGGCAGTGGGTTGCACTGCAAGGGAGGAACCCTGAGCTCAGAGAACCTAAATATTTTGTAATAGGTATTAAGCATGCTTGCCCTCGAGGGAGACATCTTTATGATAGTAGACAGTAATCAAACCTATCTGTATTTTCCCAGGCTGAAAAGGTGGTCCAAAATGAAGTCAGTGCTTCTATTCATAAATCACTTGGAAATAGGAGACCCTGGAAGAATTGTCTTCCAACAGGAATCACCTGAATTTTTAGAGTATTCTTTAAAGGCCAAATGTGGATTAAAATATACCCTTAGAATAAGTGGGAGCCCTGATATGACAGTAATTAACATTCATTTACTCAGGGTTTCCTTCCTATAAATCTCCACTGGGTACTAATGAGAACCCCTAGGGAAGGAGCTTGGTAGGAAGAGATCCCTCAGGGACAAAACATGCAGGTAATGGTTGATGGAATGGTATTGCATGACAGACGTGAAACACTACTCACTTCCTCAGACCTTTCTCTGGTATAAGAAAGCAATTAGACACTGGTGGAGACAGAGCAAACCTTCCTGCATCCAGGGCCCATTGCCTCTGGGGAAGGGGTAAGTACAAAACTTTTTGCCCTTGGAGAGAGGCAGAACATCTCTTAGGCCCAGGATCCTGCCCCAATACCAAGCAGAAATCTATTACTGGGAGGACATAAGAACACTTCTGTCCAAGAACTGTGAGTAGTGCCTCTGCCATGTTTAGCTGCCATGGGGGAGGAGCCAGAAATTCTGAGAAGGTACTACCACAGGTACCAAGTACACAGACCCTACCTAAGTCTGAGAATGGCCAAGGAGAACCAAGAACTTCTACCCCCACCCATCATCAGCTCAGTATGAAATAATAAACAATAGCAGTTTGTGACTTCGGGAAGCACAAGATTGTGGGATGACACAGGCAACCAGGGCTTGCTGAAAGCTGAGGGTAGAGCCAGGAAATAAACCTCTGGCACTTGGGTCCGACTCCAAGTACAAGATGACAGCAGCCCATCCCTAAAGGAACACACAGACCATAGTACGATAAAAGTAAAAATAACAAAATCAAAACCAGTTTCAACTGACTAGATTTGCTCAGACCTTCACACTAATGGCCAGGTGTAGACATTATTCATCTCTCTCTACTAATCTCCACAGATGTCTGACATTCAGTCAAAAATTCTAAGACTAAAAGAAATGTAAGAAAAAACCCATTGTGAAGAGATGAAGCATGATGGAACTAAACTCAGAGACTCCCCAATATTGGAACTGTGAGGCTGAGACCATAAAGTAACTGGGATTGAGGTGTTAAAGGATTTGATGGAAAAGATGGACAACCTGCCTGAACAATGGTAAATTTTAGCTGGGATGGAAATGCTAGAGATGACAAAACATGCTAACAGCAATGAAGAATGCCTTTGGTGGGTTCATCAATAGACTTGGCACAGCTGAGGAAAGAAGTGGAATTT